CATATGTATGCATAATTCAGCTGAGCTTATGATTTCTATAGATAGAGACCTGTATGAACTACATGCAGACAATGATACAAATATAGCAGCACTTCTTGTTGTTTTTTAATAAAAGCAGTCCGGGAACTTTTCTAACGGCCCTCGTATATATCTTCTTGACCCAAATAAACTAAACACCTAGATTTTTCCCCATTACTCCTTCGTACCCCTATCGGTCAGTCCAATTTTTATATCCATGGTGGATGGCTCATTAATCAACCTGAATCGAGAGTTTCAACCGAAAAGAGTAAGAATTTGTTGTGAAACCAGCGAATGTTACCCATGTACTCTTGTATAAATGAAACAAAATTAGGTATCATTTCTCTCGTTACTAATGTTCTCTATGGTTTATTATACAGCGCATAGATAACGGCACATATATTCTCATCTACATCCTTCATCCACTAGACAGCTAACTATCACCTGCGAGGTCGAACAGAACAACATATTGCCAACAAAAGAAAGACGTCACTTAATTATTGTTTCATTTACACAAGAGTACATGAGTAACATTCGCTGGTTTCACAACAAATTCTTACTCTTTTGGGCTGAATCTCTCGATTCAGGTTGATTAATGAGTCATCCACCATGGATATAAAAATTGGACTGAGCGACAGAGGTATGAAGGAGTAATGGGGAAAAATCTAGGTGTTTAGTTTATTTGGGTCAGGAAGATATATATTTTGATTACAAAAATCAATCAGCAAGACCTATTTTCGTTTTCTCACTATAGTGAAAGGTTACAAGGCAATTCGAAGAGTCATTTGAGCAGAAGCAATCTTTCCAAAAACGAATATCAGAAAATAAAACTCAGTACTAGGTTTCTGGGAAAAGAATGTTGTGAAAGACCGTCATCCTGGTTTTTCAACATCTTGTATCGACGAATAAAATTTTATTCTAGCAGCATAAAATGGTCAGCAAATAATTCTCTACAATCGTATCACTTCAATCAGTTATGCTTGATCGAACGTCACGTCTTTCATGCCACCAAATGCTGCATTTCGAATACTGAATTTTTCACACATAGAATGCACTTTTTCGAATATGTTCTCACTCCATCTCTCATGCCTTTCAACAGAGAAAAGTGGTTTTTTCTTGTTCAATATGTCGATGAACATTTCTCTCAAATGATGCCATATCATAGGGCAACGTGTTATCTGTTTATCGAATCGAAAGAAACAGATATTCGCTCAAAATCCAGCAAAAAGAAAATGCGCTATTTCAAAATATTTGGAAGAATGAGAGTATCTTTGTAAAAAATGATGCGATCAAAACAGATAGAAGATATTCCAGAGTTTGCATTAGCAATCTTGTTTGTCACCCTACACAGCAACGTTTCAAAAAGGCATTTTGGCAATAACATAGAAAAATACGATTGTATTGTTGTCAACCCATACTGATTCAGCGTTGCTTTACCCGATTGTTGACTTTGTCCCGCTTTTTTCAAAGTTGGAAAAAAAAACAACTATCAACAATCGAAAAAATGCGCCATTTGTCGATTGTTTCTCGTATTCTTTCTGCGCAAATGAAAGCAACTACACAAGTGTACCATGTACAAACAAATCGACTCTCTGCGAAAAAGACGAAAGAGAAAGTATGCGTGTCAATCAGATTTTCTTTGTTCTCTGTGGAAGACTAATGTGATGCAAAAAACATGTTGCATGCTTGTGAAACAATGGGAGAGGACCCTTGGCATTCACTTCGACTTGTCCTAATGGAAAAATATTAAGAAAAGGGTGTGAATGTCGCGATCGCAATTATGGGAGTGTGGGTGTGTGAGTGGGGGTGGGTGTGGGTGGGTGTGGGTATGGTTGTGAGTGTGGGCGTGGGTGTGAGTGTGAGTGGGTGTGAGTGTGGGTGTCCGTTTCGAGTTTTGACTTATACACCAATTCACACCCAACACCCACACCCACAACCATCCACATCCACACCCACCCACCCATGCTCACATCCACATCCCTAGTTTATCCATTACCTAATCGAATAGTTGATCGATTTTGTTTACAAATCCTACCTGAAATTCATAATAAAATCGAATGGCTTAATGTTGAATCATTTTCAATGGAACATATTCTTCTTGCTACAAACTATCCCAATTTATATGAACTTGGTTTATACAATATCCAAATAGAAAAGGATATGCATCTTTTTTCCGGTAAGATATTTGACTTCGATTTTTTTCATTGATGAATACATTAAAGCTATATGTCAAATGAATTTATTTCAATTAAGTTATAATGTCACTAATTAGATAATTACACTAATAACATTAAGAAATTTTTATTTATCAATATGAGTGAGAAGAAAACTCATCAAAGAGATCGTTTGAAATAGAACTCAAATGAAAGCTTCCATATTATTTTCAACTTTAACTTTAAAACAAATGTGTGAAAAAGAAAATGTAGTAATAAAAAATATTTTTAATCTTTTCATTGTTTAGATGAAACTCTTTTCAGTTGTATCGTGAAAAATCAAATTTCATCACTTGTTATCGATATGAATGCAAATAGGGAATAAATATCAAGACAAAATAACAATACACCTTTATTTACGCATATCTTTATTACATTCACTAATTTACGAGTATTAAACTCTGGTACATCTGAAAACCGAGTTTCAATATTTTTCCTTCTTTGAATCATCCATAACTGTTATCTCTTCAACTCTGTTAGAATCACACGTTTATTTGAAGAGTTCTAATGATTGTCTTTATTTACTTGATGGACGTTTCAATCAGCTTTGTGTACTTCATCTTAATATTGATTTCATTATCATTCCAACTTTAACAATCAATAATAAGGTAGAACATTTTGAGTAATATTTGATTTATTTAAACAAACTGATATCTGTTTTCTTTTTAGGAAAAATTACCTAATTTAAGATCCTGTTCACAGCATAGAGTTTTATGATAAATCAATCTTACCACTTTTACGTCGAATGTTAAATTTAGAAAACCTCCATTTGTCTCTTAAAGTTTGGGGTAATAGAACATTTCGTGACGGTAATGATTTGAAAATAAATGTTATCAATCATGTGTCACTATTCAACAAATTCACGTTTAATATTTGTTTAGTGAGTTCTTTTTATAGTAAAACTAATTTACCATCAAATGAAGAAATTCAAAAGACATTCAGAGATTTTAAAGATAATCAAATTATTACTTGTATTGATTATTTCCAAGAACACAAACATAGTCGATATCATATTTATTCATACCCATATCAATTGAGACATTATGATGATATAACAAATAATTTTCCCGGTGGATTATTTAAATGTGTTCGTGAAGTTGGATTATATGATGAACATTCTTTTGAACATGAATTTTTTCTTCGAATTGCTCAATCATTTCCATTATTAGAAAAATTAACTGTAATTAATCAACAACGACAAAATGATAAACAATTTTTAAAAAATCAAAAAATGAAAGAGTGTGGGTAGGCGTGGTGTATGAGTGTGGGTGTTTCCGGTGTGTGGAAGTGGATCTTTTGTGTTGAGCCACACCCACACCTACGCCCCCCCAATAAATTGTTTTAAAAAAAGATCAATGAAATGTTATGCTATTTTAAACGGGGCCACTTGGAGAAGTTGACTGTGTAAAGTATTTTTTGTGAAACACGATCTGGAAGGAGTGTTGAAGTGTTAAGGGGTAGAAATTTGGACCCCCTTCCCCTCCCACAGACCATGACAGAGAAACTTCATAACCATCACAGACCGTGACAGAGAACCTCCGGACCCATCACAGACCGTGACAGAGAACTCCAGAGACCATCACAGACCGTGACAGAGAACCCGCAGAGACCATCACACACCGTGACAGAGAACCCCTAAAGACCATCACAGACCGTGACAGAGAACCCCAGAGACCATCACAGACCGTGACAGAGAACCTTCAGAAGCCACCAGAGACCATCACAGACCGTGACAGAGAACCCCAGAGACCATCACAGACCGTGACAGAGAACCCTCAGAGACCATCATAGACCGTGACAGAGAACCCCTAAAGACCACCACAGATTGTGACAGAGAACCCCTAAAGACCATCACAGACCGTGACAGAGAATCCTAAAGACCATCACAGACCGTGACAGAGAACCTTCAGAGGCCATCAAAGACCGTGACAGAGAACCCCCAGTGACCATCATAGACCGTGACAGAGAACCCCTAAAGACCATCACAGACCGTGACAGAGAACCCCAGAGACCATCACAGACC